TGGAATGGGAATCGATTGTGCAAAAAAAAAGTGCTGCTGGGTAACTACCCCTTGGGATGCACTCACAACAGGTTGATGCCTTCGAACGGGAGTTTCATCAGGATCCCCATCAATGTCCGAGTGCGACCTACTCGTGCTTCCCAATCCACCATCGTTTTTCACTCTCTGTGCGAACCCAATCTTTGATCAGTTGTCGTGCCCAACGACTAACAATGGGCAGAGCGTCAGCCAACCAAGCGACAATGTGACGCTTGTCGCCCCCGACTGATGGCTTGCGCTGCAACTTCACGTGCGCACAAGTGATCCCCGCTGCAGTTGCCTCCTCAATGACTTCACAACTGTCGTCAATGACAAAGCACTCGCGCAAAGGGATCTTCAGGCTTTTGATGGTCGCTATCTTCCCAAATCTGCCAGCAGCACTCCCTGTTTTAAGGATTGCTGCAAACGCGTAGCAGGCCTGATGATTTGCAGTAAAGTCGTTGACCAGATTCCAGCGTGTTGATTCCGCGTGCAGGTATGAAATACAAACGGCTGTCAAGTCAGGGCAATAATGCTTCAAATCAAGCAGCGCAGCTGTATTCAATGGCAATCCTTGTTGAGCGTCCACGTTCGCTGGTGATAGTCGCAGAACACAATAGGCCCAGGAGCTCCCGGAACCGACTGGTCCCCTCAATCCAGGTCGTACCAGCCTCGGCCTGCACGTAATACCTGACCTGATTCCGCAGGCACATGTGGGGCCGCAGTGGCTGTGACTCAACCGTCCTCTTCATCTTAAGCCGCAATTGCTGGCGTTCTTGAATTGCCAGATATAGTGCTGCTCGGAAAAAGGCGTTCAGATCGTCCTCGGCCCTCAAAAAGCGATACTTCGCAGGGTCTTGCTGGCGAAGAGTTCTATTGATATACTACTGCCTTGTGTTTGTCGGCTCCGGCAACGACGCCCTCGCCGACGAGAAAGCCGGCTGAGGCGAAGCCGGAGATGCCGGCTCTTGCACAGCAGCTGCAGGTGCTGGTTCCGGCAACCTGAATGATCGCACTTCAAAAGTGTTCCTTGGGGCGGCGGCCCCGGCTGTCGAAGAAGATGCAGCTGCGGAGTGACAGTTGGTACAGAGTAATACAAGTCCACCGGCAGGTTCAAGTGCTTAACTCGATCAAGTAGAGTTACTTTACGATCCGAGTCCCACCCGTCTACTCTCAAGACCTGTCTCAGCACGTTCGCCTGCTGGCTTGTGCCCCTTCTACCAGATCTTTGCCACTTGAACAGCTCCCACAAATCGTCTGGGGTGGGGAGGTCCGCCTGCTCGGCCATGGCTGTGCGCTCCAGTACCGGCTAAGAGACGCTTGCGGCTGATAACCAGTTGAATCAAGATAAGAACAGCTCGCTATGTTTGATTTTAAGCAATCCCAATCCTGATCCAAGTAATGTCGCCACCAAAAGGAAAAGAATACCGCACGTCGTCAAGTAAATGGCGGACGCACTCCTTTTAACCCTCAAGCAGCTTGAGCCAAACGCGGATGCGTTTGGATGTTTGGTATCTTTGGAGAACTGAAACACATGACAACTTGCAAAATATCATGGTTGCAAAAAGGGGAAACCTCATGAATGAAAGCTTTGCTTTACCATGGGTTCCTGAGGATGTGAAACGGTGGACAGACAACGCCTACCCTACACATGACGATTCCTCCTAGCAAACTAGACACAAGGAATCCCTTCTCAGCTAGGCATGCCTCATGAAGGTTACTGACCAAACATGTCTGCATAAGTGATGGTGCATCATTGGCATCTCACCCTGTCAAACATGCATAAGGCTCAGCATTCTTCAACTCAAGCACATCATCTAAGGCTCTCCGCCCGCCTTCTCACGCTGCTGCAGGTAGGCATCGAGGCTGTCAGCCTGGCAGCTGCTTCCCTGAGCTAGGCTCAAATGACAGAGACGGCCAGCAAACAGCTTGAAGCTTGCCGAGTTGACACGCTCTGGCAAGTCAACCTTGTGATACCAAAGTGGGCTATTCCCACGACCTGTGTCACTCGACAGAGATTTCCTTGGTATCATAGAAATCGGTCCTAAAACCCAGCCTTCCACAAGCGCGAGTGAATCCCGGGTGAATCTGATCTTACTGATTTCTTCCCAATTGGCTGAAGCTCACTGGGTAAGGCAGACATGTGATAGATTCCCTTCAAACCCGAGTTCAACCTAAGCTTGGCTTCCCGGAAAAAACAAGTCCAGACACTCGCAGAGTGAGAACATCACGCAAGCACATGGTCCAAAAGGGAACCCGGCAAACAACTCCAAAATCCATCTTGTAATGCTTTTTTTGAGGGCGCCTGTCAATTCCACCCTCCTACCGGTGACCCGGACCCATAAACCTGGTGGATGAATACATCCTGTGTCAAGCATGGTCAATCCTACCCCCTAGTCAATCCCTGCCCTCGGACACACAACTTCAAGTGGGTATGTCACAATGAGGTCCCCGCCAATGTTCATTTCGGTCAAAATCAGCTTCCCTCAAAAGCTATGCGGCGTTTTTGGATGCGCCCGGATGCCAGACTCGACGGCTCTCGCCAGACAGCTCTTGGCCCAGCAGTCAGCCATCAAAGTGAAAATATTGCCAAGAACCCCCAGACGTGCCTCTTAACCTAATGATGACATCGGACTGAGAAGCCCCCTGATAAGGTTCAGAATGTTTTGTCTCCACAAATTAGATTCCAGAGAGATTTCATGAAATTTGATGATGTTCATTGACGTTGAAGACTTTTCCCATCAGGTTGGCATGGTTCCCCAATGAGATTCCGTGAAATTTGATCAGGTTGCCAGTGAGATTTGATTTTCCGTCAAGTTGGCGAGATTCCCCCATGAGATTCCATGAGATTTGATGCGGTTTCGATTCAGATTGAGCGATTTCAATTAGGTTTGCATGGTTTTCAAATGTGAAACTTGATCGGTTTCCATTTAGATTGAGTGATTGCTTCATCAGGTTGGCATGGTTTCTGAAAGAGATCCCATGAGGCCCGGTAGCTCCTGCAGCAATTAGCCCTGATTAGATGCACACCTAGCCAGGCGCGTTCGGTGGGCAGAGAGCACAGGCCCGGCAATGTTTCTCACACCCGCCAGGTGCATTCGGCAGGCGAAGAGCACATATCTGGCAATGATAAGCCCTCCCGCCAGGTGCGTTTAGTAGGTGGCGAGCGGAGGTCCGGCAATGTTAAACTCACCCGGCAGGTGCGTGCGGTAGGCGGAGAACACAAATCCGGCAATGCAAAGACTATGCTAAGCACACCTGCCGGGACCACGTGGGTTCGGTAGGCAGAGAAGCAGTTCTGAGTATGGCTCACATAGCTGGCCTAGCGTGCTGCTGGGTGCTGGCAAAGCCGGGCCTGGAGTCCATGCTTTCATCTCTTCGTTGCTACAAAGGCGACATGAAACGGGGCACTCGCCCTCCACTTCTTTTACTTCAGGAAATGGCTGTTTGACTACGCGTGTCAACGAGCGAAAACTCCGGCTGGTGCCAAAGCAAAAAGGCTCCTTGCGAGACGCCGCTTGGTATAAAACCTGCATTTTGCGAAACAGCGTTGACAACGCCTCAGAAGCGATCTGGTCGCTTCCGACGGAAAAAAACAGAGAGTATGCGTCGGAAGGTTTTGAAGCTTGAAAAGCTACAGAAAGCCCGCTTTTTGTTTTACAAAAACACTGCAGTTGCACATTGTGCTGATACGCTCTCATGAGGAGCCGGAGCCGCGAAAGTGCACCTTGCATACTGGTTTCGCTTACAAGTTGCACTTTTTGAGCCGGAACTGCGAGAGGGTACTTCGCGTACTAGTGTTGCGCTTGAAAAAGACCGCAGGGCGCCACGGCGAAAGCGCTTCCACGAGCTCAAAGTTTACAAAGGGTTGATCGGGAGAAGGGTCCGAGGCGCGCGATGACGCCTGCTTAGGAGGGAAGTGCTCAAAATACTGTGCCTGCCACAAAGTTTACCCTGTGGCTGCTAAACGCACATTTCAGCTCTTTGTTTGGTGAGTGCGTTTGAAAGCTTCCTGCACAAGTTGTCCATCAGACTTTCTTAGACTACAAAACCTCACTGCCTGAGTGACTAAAATGGTCTCACCAAAAAGTATAACGCCCAGGAACTCAGCAACTGAGAAACTGTAACATCCAAACCGGAGATCAGAGCCTTTGTCGTGGTGATAACGTTTTATCCCTAACTGAGCTCGCAATATTTTGTCCAAAGTAAATGAGGATTCCTTTCATAGGGCCTCCATGCTGATGCGGCACGCGTATGTTGGACAGTCCTTGGATCCATGAGGATTGGCACTGGGCATGACACCCAGGAATGACCGCCAGAAGGGCACTCGAGGAAGAGTTCCTTCCAACTCAAAGGGGTGTCCAAAAATTGGGGGACTTCTGCTTCAGGATCAACAAGCAAACAGCCATTTGGAAGAGCGCCAAGCTTTTGGAAGCACCCACAAATTCGGGGCCGAAAAGCCTCCCGACCTACAAATCTACAAAGGCCCCTTCTGGCCCTCCAATGCCACTAGGTCCTTTCAGGACCTGGAGTCGGCCTTTCGGTGGCGCTTGTCAGCCACCGGAGTGACTTCCTGCCTGCGCTCATGGGCCACTGACTGTGCCCACTAAGCGAGATGTTCTGTCCCGCCCCGGAGTAGCGAGTGGGCGGCCAACGCGCAGCGTGGAATGCTTCAAACTTTCTGGCTGAGTGCAAGCCACTCGGCCAAATAACAAGTCTGGCCACTCAAACCTGTGGCAAAGGAAGCACGCAAAGAGTGATGCTTTGGAATGCTTTGGAACATGCTGTCGTGTCCTTGCCTGCTTCATTTCCAGGCTTCCAGCGGCCATAGGAGAAAGAGGTGGCATCCTGCTTTTGGCAGCTTTTAAGAAACCCTCCTTCAAAGCTTCAAAGGACAAACGGACACCACTGGAGTTCTGGACTGAAACCCACGGCGTCAAATGCAAGCCGCTCCCCTTCGGGGAGCGCATCGATTCCTCGGCTCAATCGTAGGACTTCCTCAGCAAGGGGCCGTGCATGATTCATCAGTTGACCCTTAGGGACCCAGAAGTGAAAGGTGATCACCTTTTGCGGCCACTTAGCTGGGAACACAACATGACAAAATCGTTCTGGTAACAAGGTCGATTCGCTTTAGCGTTGAGGCTTTTTCGAAGAACCCTTGCGCAGATGTTTTGGGGTATGCTGAAGCACGCATTTTGATGTCAAGCGTTTTGAGAAGAAGGTCAGCAAGAGGTCGGCTGGCTCACCAAAGATTCTAGACTTATTCCGCTCACCCTATTACTATTGATAAAACCACCTCTATCAGGAATTCCGCTTGTCAGGCGAAACACCAATCTCCCCTTTTACTTCTAATCCACCCAATACTAAATGAATGCTATGGTGTTGATGCTTTTTGCGCTCGGCAAAGGGGGCACCGCATTCGGACGAGGAACGTAGTAGAACCCGCCGGGGATCCTATTATCTAGATGCGGTCGATGTTCTAGGGGCCCTTGGGGTGCTCCAATTATTAAAAATCCTTTCAATTTGGGATGGGCTCAGGATGGGCTTTGTTACAAAATCAGGGGGGGGGCCTGGGCTAGCCTTATCCCAATTAATTTTCGTACGTGCTCTCGGTGCAGCCTGATCTAATCTTATTGCCGCATCTCGCCAATATTTTGAGGGGTGCCCAGCAGTTGCACTTGGAATGTACATTCGAGAGGCCCAACCCCACCCCGAGCCCTATAAAATGAGGTGGTGGATCAAGACCCAAAGCCGCCCCCCATTATATTTTGAACACCGACGCCGACCCCCTTTATGAAATAGTTAGAACAACTAGCATCCTTTTGTATTCTCTGTAAAAAACGGCTAAAGCTCATGGAAAACTTGTGGTTTGTACAGAGAACCTGGGCGAAGAGCGCGGGAACAAACCCTCAGAAACATGCCCAAAGCATTCATGGTTACTGCAGCCTCAGGGGCCGCTTGCCCATGTTGCTCTCGGTGCGTGAACATGTGATCGTTGTCTGCAGCACCTGCGCAGAAGCAGCTGCCACAATTAAACGCAACAACGCGATAGGGCACCAGCTGAAAGGAGTCCTTGGACACATCAACGTATCATGTACTGGGTTGACACTCCAACGCTACAGTGTGTCAACATGATGCAGCTGCCAGCGGGCTCCGCCCTGCCCTCCAACTATGTCGAACACCTGGTGTGGGATAATCATGTTTTTTGCAAGGCTGCATTACGTATGCAAATCTTGAAACGATGCTCTTTGAGTCTTGAGCATGGCTCAGGTTTTTCTTCAACTTGCTTGCTGTGCGGGGTATGGAAATGAGATACATAAGGGTATACCAGCCCTTTCAAGGCTTGCACCCACTGGAACTTGTTCCGAAGCATCCTCTAATCCGGTCCCCCTCATAATGAACGTTCCCCCCCCCCCTCCACCCCCGAACAACAAAGCCTCGGAGGGTCTTTATAGTTGGGTTCCCCCGGTTTTCTTCGGCCAGAACTGTTTCAAACTGCGTTGTTTTAGCATTAGGCTCAAATTGGAAAGGGGGACCGACCGCTTTGATTTGCACAAACAAGTGTTCAGAATGCAACTTTTGAGTGAGAACTCGTAAAGGGAAGGCATCCTTGGCTCACGCAAGGTTACGCTTCGGCTTGAAAGAAAAACACGCACATAGCGCAACTCTTGAGTCAGACAAGTGGAAGGGAACCTAATCGAGACCCTAATGATAAAAAGCGCTCACGCAAGGCAGCTCTTGAAAAAATAGTCTGAAAGAAAAAGCACTCAGAATACAACTTTTGAGTAAGACCTTATGAAGGGAACCAAATGGAACCAAATGGAGACCCTATTGAGCATTGCTAGGGTGGCCCCGAAGAAGCATATCTGGGAAGCTTGGCTGAGTTCATGGGCATTTCAGAGAATTTGGTATTGGTTTGGTATTGGGTCATCTAAGACTTTTGGGGTTGGCTGGACTGGATTTTGTTATTGGATACAAAGGAAGACGGGATTACCAAATGCCAAACACGGACCCAACACTTTATGGTGCCTGTGAGGACTTGCCAAGCAGGAACCCTTCCATACTCTTGCCCTCTGCCAAAGGAATAAGGGAACTTGACCTGAAGCTTGAACGTGAGGCTCCACACATGCAAGCCAGTGCGTTTGGGTTTTCGGGCGGACTGTCACACTCATGGATCTGAAGCATATTACAATCATACGCTGAATGCGCACACATGACATACACACATACCACAAACACACAAACAGGCAAATGCACCAGAAATCAAGATGCGTGGAAGTATGCATTCAGAATTGCATGCACGGAGGATCACACAGGTACATAAGGGTATGCAACAATGTGGCCGTTTTTTGTCGCATCTGCAAACCATGTTTTTGTTGCCATCCTGGTTGCGGAACATCGAACAGGTGCAACGTGATGTGCGCAACCCCGAATTAGAATGCATCTGGGCAGTTCATGGAGAGGATTCCCACTCTTCTGCAAACACATGGATCCGTGAAACCGCCCCACACACAGACAGACACACACATGCAGGGAACAGGGAACAGGGTAACTGAGCTTCCTAGGTTTTCCCTCTAGGTTTTCCCTCGCGCAACCAGCACTAGCAGGATACGTGATTTGGATCGATTTCCATTGAGAGGGCCATCTACCTGCCATGGCAACGAGGGATGGAGGATACAGGGACTGCTCAAAGAACTCTCTAAGGACTGCTCAATTACCCGGGTGGATCAAAACAAGAGCCTATTAAACAACCACAGGCATCCTAACTTCGGACCATCACGTGAACATCCTTTGATGCAGCCACCCACAAATAGCTCAAGGTAGGCAGTCCAAGAGTTCAACATAGTTCAACAGTTTCTTCGTGGCAAAAAATCGGTACTTCCCACAACGTGAGCTGGTTGCGTGGAAGCCTCCCGAGCTGGAGATCCGTTTGCGATCTGTTGTGGCAAAAATCAGTTAGTGACCCATGCTCATTTGCGATCTGCCCCCAAAACTAACGGTCCACCAAATATCCCCCCTAAGGGGTTAAGGTCCCCCAATTCCATTTATCCAATCTTCCCCAAACTAAAAATAGAATTCCGTTGGACATCCCTCTGGGGATACCAAATAGCCAGGACGTCTTCGCATGTCTTGCCTTCCAAGACTGCGCCAAGCGAGCAGAGGCTGAGCGCTGCGGCAGGGAAAATTCGTAGACGACCTCTACGTCATCATCCAACTCATCAGCAAACCTGGGCCGGGAGCCGTTTTCTCACCCCCCCCCCCCGCTGATTTTGTGCTGTTTCAAGCCCAAGCCTTTGGTGTGATTGAATCTTGCAGGTTGCTACACCCAAGCCGCTGCAAGGGGGAAGTCGTGTATAGTCTTTGTGTCATGGCTCTACCGTGCTTATTCTCCTGGAAGCTTTCGGGGGGGAAAGGCCCACATCTCCGGAGAGGGTGTGAGCAGCTTCGCTGGCTTGTAAGTTTGCAATGGCCACCTAGGATCCTAGTCTCTGACTCGACTAGGAAAAACTGGTTCAGCTTTTGGGTGGGGGGGGGCTGGGGCGTCAGGAGATAAGATTCATCGGATGCGGGTCCCCAGCACTTTCCCAGAGCCTTCCACGCAGATTTGGTTACCGGTTACCACTACAAGTTGCCTCGGTGAAAGGTAAGGCACAGCTTGCCAAACAAAAAGAGATTTAGCCTGCAGAATGTAACGCCCAAACGCCATGTGACACGAAGGGGCACCTCTTTGCCCAAAGGAAACAATTAATTTCCGGTCAATGCCTTCAAGGTGTTGGCAAACATCCATGGCGAAGGTAAGGCACACGTGCACAATGCCCTCTTCACACGAATTGTTTTTGCTCAAACAGACAACTACAGTTGAGAGAAACCAGATGACTCTTCTGCCTGGCTGGTTGCGTCATCACCCTCACTTTGCTTACCGTCAGAAAGGATATTGTGCCAACTTTCACCCGCCAATGCAAACATACCCAAAATTGAAAGGGATTGAAACAGGCTGCCTTGCAGAACTTTCGATTTCTAACCCTCGGAATGATGGCAAACCAATTTGCTCTTTGCAGCCCCCGAGCTCAATTAACAGGACCGAGAACAGTAAAGATAACGTTTGCGTGCGGAACGCCCATGAAAACTGTACCAAACGGCTTATAACTGACCTCAGCTTGGTCGAGCTGGGTCCGTGCAGCTTTCGCTGACTTGCGGAGTTGAGTGGCTGGAACCATTGAAGCTTTTGGCCCTGTGGATGGACACTATGCTGCACCAGTTGAGATGGATTGCTGTAACCCTCAAAATAATACTGGGCAGTGACCGTCGCAAGATGGCACCGTTGGGGTTGACGACTTGTAGTGGGGCCAGCGAACAACTGGGACGGACGATTGCATCCCATGTGGCGTAATGTGATGCGGCGTTTTCTGCCCCGGCGTCGAAGCCTCGTCTCGGCATGTCTCACGTCGCAAGGAGCTTTTCAGCTCGCAAATGGTGTAACAGGGTTTAAACTATCCCGTTCACCAGGCTTTGTGGAGTGGAGGGTGGACGGGCCAACGCAACAATAGCATTTGGGATTGTTGCAGCCCATCCTTTTTCAAGGATGGCCTGTTCAACTGATCGCAAGCTGATGTCTCAAACCACAAGTTTGTCCATACAGAATCCAAGTTTTGTTTGTTTGCCACTAAATTGGCTTTCCCAACAATGCTGTTCTTCAGCGGGGAGGCCGATGGGGGGACGTTCAGCCCCAATTTATGGCAGCGTGAAAGTTGGCATTTCCGGTACCAGGGAACGACTAACCAAAATTGGGACATTGAAAGCCCACCCAATGGGTTCCGATTTTGTTAATCCCAAGGTATCCAAAGCATGTCCCTCTTGAACATTTAGCTTGACGGCCTCCATCCTTGAAGCAAACACTTGAAGCCTCTTGAGCAAGCTGGAGATACCGCCCAGCTACCAGACAAGAGCTGGTTTAACATGTTTGAAACCCCAACATGCAAAACCAGCTTGCCTTGAAAGGGTAATAGGGGCTGGTTCTTTACATGAACGTTGCCCCACTCTAACGCTGTGCGCGGCATGGACCTCTCGCACCAGTGTGTGTAGGTAGCTTTTACCATTAAAGTGCACTCCCTTTCCCAAAGGATACTGGGACCAGCTACCAACAAACAAATATAATTAGCAACATGCATCGCCTGTGCATGCTACCCCCCTCCCCCACCGGTGACCTCGGATTCATCCACCTCCATGAAAAATGGGGGTGTTCCTTGCTAAGTGAAGGATCTCCTCTGCAATGGGACACTTCCTATATATCCACCGGGGGTCTGTTATACAAGCTTTCAAAAAGGGCCGGGGAGGGCAGTTGATATCCCAGGATATTAAATCTGGTACGTGATTTGCCATGCCAGAAGAAAGGCGAGCAGGATGAAAAAAAAATGGGAGGAGACCCCGGCTGAGTTGCGGACCTCCTTGAGGATGGGGTTGCCTCGTCGGTCAAATCGCCGGGGCGAGGGGTCCGAGTGCTTGGACTTTGTCTTTTCCAGCCTCAGCGATCGTCTTGGTCGGTACAACCGGGCTTTTGCGGAGTCTCTAAGGAAAAAGAAGCTGGCTTCCCCGGCAAACTGATAGTTACGGGCTATTGAGCACCCCAGGCATCCAGGGTACCCCCTATAAGGCCACGTGTTAATGGAAAATGGTAGCTTGGAATCAAGTTTTCAAAGACCTTTTGGTTTCCCTTTCCCTTCAAACAACGCCTGCATGTTCGAACCAGTCACTCCAAATACCCTCTTTTTTAGGGCATTTGTTGAGCAAATAGGTTATCCATGGCAAATACTTTTTTAAATACAGGGTTGACATAATACCCTGTAATAATTTGGAATCTGGAGGGTAATGCAGGCAAAATATTTTTAGCACCCAGAGAAGGCCATGCACGTGCTGTTGTTTGCTGCGAGGGATGTGTCACACTCATTGAGTTCACCCTTCATGGCAATGGTTAGTTTACGGCGACCCGCTGCGATTGCGCGCTGAAGTCCAATATTTTGTGTTTTGCGTCGGCTTCGTCTCGGAGCGGCGCTTGTCCCGGCCCAGCCGGCGGGCGATCCGGGCTTGGCCAGGAAGATTAAAGGCCTCCGCTTGGACTGCGACTTTCCTTTTCCTTTGTGGCGAGACGTGCTCCATTTCAAACGCTTTCGTCGAGGCCGCCCGTGCGTCCAGCTGAGGCTGGACCGGGCCCTTTTTGCAGCCGCGCGGCGCCAATTGGGTGAGTCGCTTAGGATAGTCTGCCAGCGGGGAGTGGGGTTTGGGGGGGAGGGATTTCATTTCTAGGTTTCCCCACAAAGAGTGGAAACGAAACAATACACCTTTGTCGGACAACATGGAACCCCAAAATGGCGGGGAGGAAGATGGCTCTTAAACCGAGGGTCTTTGTGCTCCAGGCCAATCTGCAGAGCGATTTCATTGATCTCCAGGAGTCACCTTTTGCCACATGAAAACAGCCTGGCGGACTGATAGGTTGCCTATCTAAAGGTTTTCGTCATGGGACCTTCTCTTAAAATGGACCGAGGGAAACCAACAGGTGCAAATGTGAATTCGCTTTGGACAACTGCGATCAGCGAGAAAGCAGAAGGATCTATCGAGCACGGGTTTCCACCCAGAAAATCGAGCAGCGCATTCCATTTGCGGGAACCGACTCTAAACAGGCTTCAGTCTTGTTTCAGCCCACCCTTCAAGAGGAGATACGGGTGTGTCCCTTTTCGAGGGAACCCTTGTTGTTTGGAATCACATACTTTGAAATCACGCCGCCTTGGGGGACTGGTGTTTTTGTATTGAATTCACTCCTGGGGGTCTTAGCAAATTTGTTGTTGCTGAATTCACGCCTGTGACATGTAAATTAAACAAAAAGCACTTGGACCCCTAGGCGTGAATGTAAAACATGGACCCCTAAGCGAGATCAAAACAAAAACACAGGGCCCCCGAGGCGTGAATTCGAGAAACACAAAGGACCCCCAGCTGTGATTCAAACAACTCTGGGATCGTGATGCCTTTTCTTTGGAATCACCAATCCCTCACTCTCTTGCTTGCTCGCTTTGTGTGTGACCAACACGCCAAGCTGATAATCCAACATGCGAAGTTCCAACATAACAACGGCTGGTGTGAGTAAAACAAAAACGGTTCCCATTTTGGGGTCCCTATAGGGATCAAAGGACATCAGATTCATGTGCACCCACCAAACTTCAGGGAGTTTCCCAATTAAACATCAATGAAAATCACTGCCATACAGCAATGCTTGCTTCTCCGAGACGCGCAGCCGCAGGAAGCTCCACTTTCAAACCTCTCAACCCGCTCACATCATCAGGAGGAAGTGGCTCCGCCTGATAGTCGCAGAAGCGCGGCACTGAGCGTGGCGGGCCGGTTGGGGGGGGGGGTTTGCTTCCTTCCTTCACGGGTGTATCGACCAAGAAAAGTCCTTATTTGTTGTTTGCCACTCAAAAAGTGCTCAATTCCAGGAAGTCAGGAAGTGAGAGTGGGGGGAAATTATCAACTCCATATTTAATCCAAAGGGCTGTGCTAATGGAAAAGAGTCCCCCCAAAATCGATGAACTCTTCGCGGGAAGCCCCCAGATGAGCATGGTCCTCCCGATCGAGCTGAAGTTGATAACCTTCTGTTGGCATTGCTAGAGCCATCTTGGTTCACAGAATGTCCTGCCCTGGAACAATGCAGGAACCGATAGGAAGCATGGAGTCCAGACTGGAGGTTTTGAGTAAAGTTGCTTTCACAGGTACTGCCCAAACCCGCACTAGCATTCTCAGCCGGAGCTGCGCCACGCCATGCAATCAGAAGAATGTTGCAACCCAGGCATGCGCGCCTGCTCAGGAGTCCCAGTCTTATGCAACGCATGTGGAAAGCCCAGCTGAGCTAACCAAGTGCATGGCTTGAAACAAGCAGAGACGGCTTGAGTGCGCAGTGGGTGGAGCATTACAAAGCAATGTGATTGTGTTGACAGGCACAGGAAATCAGCAACGATGGTCAAAGCATGCGTTCACACTTGGCATGGGAAGCTTACCCATAGGTAACCGGTACCCGGTATTTACCTCTAGGTTTTGACATGGCTTTCGCGATCGGATCCGCTGGCTTAGGGACTGCCCCTAGTGCGTGTCGAAACTCAAGTCCCCCACCCTAGTGAATGGGACCCCCTACTGAGTTCCTTCAAGGATGTCTCCCAAAAACGTGTACCAGGGAATCCGTTCCTAAATCAGCTGGTTGTTAGGTGTTTTTCCTGGCCAATGTATCCTTTCAGGCACCCCGACAAATCAATCCAAGAGTCCCCTAAAAGGGCAAATGCTTCCTTTTGGAAGCACCATCCAAAGGGGGGATCACCAGTTTGAGAAAGTCTCCATGTGATGAGTCGTAGCGGGACGACGTTTGTGGTCATGTAGGGGTCCTAAGGGCTTGCGTCTTGGTCTAACCCCTGGACACGGAAACACAACCGGCCCACAAAAGGGTGCACAGAAAACGATATATGGGCGTGTCTGATCTTAGAGGGGGACCCCGATTCTCCCTTTGGTTTCCCTTCACGCCACCAAAAGGGCCATGATGTTCTGATTCTGTTCGTATTTGGTCAACCCTAAAATAGGAAATGTGTCTTGCAGGAAGCGAAACTGTCGCGAGGCAGCGCTACGACCGCTACCGCACCTCAGGCTCCACGAGCTTGGGGTCCTCGCACTTGGTGTCGCAGCAGTCCTCGCGATTGGTCGTGACTGCTGGGGGGGGGGGGCGGGGCGCCCCGAAAACTGTTTGTTGGTTCTGTGTTTGGTCTTGATTCAGTCCAATGTACATGTATGAAGCCCTGACCCTGTAGAGTCTCCCAATTTGTGGTAGTTTGTGGTTAAATGTCTAATACTGTGGCTTATTTCTGGGAAACCAGTGACGGAGCCCAACACGGGCACGGGGTCAGGTATGGGCTCGTACAACTTGCTGGTTCTCAGTAGGGAATAAGTTGGAATGACCCCGAAGTGCACCATCCAATGAATGCCCCGCTGAGAACAAGCAAGGTTGGGCGGTCCTTTGGTTTCTAATTTCCTTTTGGCAACACCAAAACAGATAGAACACAGTGCCTCGAAGTCGAAGCGCACTGGCCGCCAAAAGGATATGTACACAATAGTTGCGAGGGCAGGGTTGCGAAGATTGGTATGGATAGCTCGGCGAGGGAAACGCAATTCCCCAACCACATCCCCAACTACCTCCTCTAAAGCTACCTGGAACCCTCCAACTCCTGGTGTCATAGGGTTGCGCAGGTTGGGACTTGTCAATTCCATCAAACATCACCTAGGACACTTTAAACGATTTGACCGGTGGGGTCACAATCCCCCTTTCGGAAGCAACTCCAAGCCCCCTTCACTTACACATTAAATTTCATTGATGTTCCAAGGAGATTGATGATGCTAGAAGGAGGTTGGAAGTTGGAGGCATTTGCGATTCTATTGACCACCTTTCACAAGGCTCACATCACGCAACCCAAAGCAAGACTGCTAGTATAGTTGAGAAAATACACGTTCAACTGGGGATCCTGGGGATGTTTCCCACCCAGCGGATATGCTACGGACCCCTTCAAATGTCGGGTGCAGGATTGGTTCATCTTGTTCAATCCACTTCTTGCTTATTTCAGTTTAATGGGTGCTAGGTTCTAGTTGTTGATTCACGTTTCGCCCCACCGGCCGAACCCCGGCCGGCCAAAAACCCAGCCACGCCTCTGGCTGCTCCGGCAACTTGGCATCCGAGGGCACCCGCTTCACCCCGCAGCACGGCTGGGCACCCATAGCTGGAGCTCGAGACCGGCTTTCGGCTCAGCGAGTTCACCCCAAAGCCAACTCGGTAAGCTGAAGCTCGGAACAGGGGGGCACTAGATGCCAACTTGCATCGCTGTTCGGATTTCCAGAGCCCAGACCTTCGGAACTTGGCAACGCAGTTGCTGGTTTTTGCTGGTTGGCAGGTTTGCCTGTCGACTCGCTCCACTCCCTGAGCCGGAAAGCACCTGAAGCACAAGACCGTTTGTGGTATGCGACAGCTGGGATCAATTCCTGCATTCATGCACTCGTGGATTTGGGAATCCTCAGCGCCAAAGTGAGCGCATGATCATGATGGAATGCCAATACACTTATCATATTATATAATATCATGAAGCCCTTCGGCACATTGTGCCGGTATTCCAAAAACTGCATTAAAGGGATCCCACCTAAGCAACTTCCCCCTCAGGTGAGCTGGTCATCGTTTGCCTAAATATGTTGTTGTCATCTTGGTCAACGCCACTCAACCCGCGCTGGAGTTGGCTGTCTGCATCTTGTGCATATCCAGGCAGAAATCATCGCTCGCTGGTTCTGAAATTCAGAGGTCTTGGGAATGAACCCAGGGATCCCCATAAAGGACACCACAAGGACTTATTACTTGTCCATTGTTCACTCGGAACTGACCTCACGTGGCTGTCCAACTTTGACCTGCTGGGCCTTAAATATGATGACATCTAGCAACTGCACACTACAAGCTGCCTAAAACAATGGTTGTGGGGAAGAATACTTTCGGTGATAGGTACTTTCTCACATTGCAGGGGGGTCTAAGCCTGGCTGTCTGCTGGTGTCACAGAGAGTTGCAGTCGGGGACCCGTTTTGCCACTAACATGCTTCAAAAGGTCAGCATAAGACCAGTTTTCCTGACTGACCAGCGACTGTCGGGGGGGCTGCTTCGAATCCTCTCCTTTGACATTGAGATGCTCACGAAAACCGAGCGAAGCCCCCAGTTCCCAGTTGCAACAAGTGATCCTGGTAGAATTGGACTCCATTTTGAAAACCCACCGAAGGGGACATAGGGCGCTGGCTAGGTTGCCTTCTCCCAGCAAAAAAGCCGTTGTTTCCAAAAAGGTCTAACGTGCTAAGGTCACGCCAAAGACCAGCCATGCACGGAAGCGAAGCAAACGGGAATGATGGGGCCCTTGACGTCTAAAGCCCCGAGCCAACGCCAGTGATATATATATATGTATATGTATATGTTCTGAACATCCTCACCCTGTAATTCTAAGCCCAGCCAAAGAAAAGGTGTGCTACGAATCCTTCACTTTCTGAGTGCAGTGGATTGCCTAACGTCCAAACATTTGTTTTGCCACTTTCCATGGCCTTCCCAATCACAAAGCCCAGGAACTCAGAGATGAAAACAACAAGCATCCCCTGAGCCAAACACATGGCGTTTTGCACCAGCGTCTCGCGAGAAAGAGATGACCACGCCTCCAGTTCCTCCCGGCCTAAAGAATGGAAGCGCTGGGATTCTTACTTCCCGGCTGAACAAAAAATCGTCATTAAGAACAAAAGGACCTTTTTACGCATACCAAGAAGCATGCCTCGCACACGGACCTGCGTACCACTACAGAAAGTTCAGTTTGAAAAGGGTTGGTGCCATGTTTGGTGGGGTGCTATTTTTGCCTCCATGGTATACCCAAAGGCTGCTTCACTATTTTTCGTATTTCCAGGGTGTAAGGCGAAGTGTCTCAAACTGAGCCCCCCGTTGATGGCTTTAAACGGGAAACCAAATGGAAACCAGCCTGGCTCGGACTCATGAGACACGCCCCATCCACATACCTGAAACAAAGGGCTGCCGCCAAAGCTTTGCACTTCCAAAGTCCGCGGCAAAAAAGACGTGCTCACTGAAACGACACAACGCAGGGACGACCGGTGGAAGTCCAATCGCTGTTCTTCGCTGTGAGCTAGGTGATGGAATAACTATCCATCTCCTTTCGGTTTCCTGGACGGTCATCCTCCCTCCATTGTGGAAATGGACAATCGAAGGGTTGTAAACTTCTATCGGGGTGCCCACTCTATTTTCGTAACCTCGCACAACCTGAAATGTAGAATGGAGGTGAAGCAAAGTTGGGGGTTAGATAAACAAAGCCCCTCATATGCCTTCAATGTTGGGAAGCGAGCTGGCAGGTGCCTTTGCTTTCTCCTGCGGGCCTGAACGGTTCATGTTTGCCGAAGGATCCGGAAGTACTCGTGGGCTCCCGTTCATGGGGGCTTATAGCTTGATTAACTTTCTGATTTCGTCTGAGGCAGCCAAAGCAAATCTGGTTGCTAGTGATTGCGCGCAACTATACTCACTTGCTCACAGCACCTGGAAGTAACATTGGGACCTGAACATTAACCAAATGGGAAACAAAATAATGATGAGCCAGTGGGAACCCAGGACTAATGAACTCGGTCGATTACTGGGTTTCCCTCGCAGTCCAGCCTAGCTACCTGAACCGTAGCAAAATCGTTGGAACTCTTGGCGGCGAACCCCCCCGTAGTGCGGCACACCAAAAGAAAAGGGAAGTAAAGGGTTCTTGGCGGTTCCCTGGTTCCTCTCAACTGGCCACCCCGAAAAATCAAGTTTGCTGCTTCAAGTGGAAAAGGAAACTTAAAACTGCCAGTAAGGACAAACCGACCCTCTAATGCCAAGCCATGCACGAGCTCTCGAAGGTATCGGAGGAAGGCCAACCTCTGGACCTGGCGACTCGCCCCTGCAAGGTTGAGTGGATGGCCAAAAAAACACATTTCTTGTTGACCGCTAAAATGGTCCAACCCCAAAAAGTACCTAACGTGTGAGAAAACATTTTTATGTCGCAACATCCTCAATTATCTGGGGGCATTCGCACGGCACTGGAATCCCATAACTGCCTTGTGGCCAGCTTACGCGGCACCGCACTGTACCAAATTGGCGGCTTACAGCCTAAACCAAAATGCATTTTTTCTTAATGGTCCTGCCTGGCCTATTTAGTCAATATTGTTTCCGCAGTCCGGCCTCGCACTTAAATTTAAAATTTGAACTGTTTGCCCTCAAAGCAGTCGTCCCTAGATACCCCTTAAGCAATACATATAAACATGTTGAACTTGGAGAAAACAACGCATTGTATTTGCATAGCGCTCCCCACCAGCAATGAACGAAATCAAGCAACAAACGCATCGACATAATAAGCATCAATGGCCTTGGTCGCTTCCATGGTGGAAGGGGCCGACCCAAGTTCTGCAAATAAAGCTTGTTCAGCATGTTCAGCTTTCACGTTGTTTCCCTGAAACACGATCCTACCTTTACACTTGCGAAGGGGATTTCCATTTTGGAGTTCGATCCCTTTTTCAACACAAATGTCGAAGGTTTTGCCAACGTGGACCTTTTCACCTCTGCTTTTGGCCTCTCTGACAACCTGCAACCATTCACGCACGGTGTTGTAATCCAATGCGCCCGTATTTTTTAAGACTGTTCCGTTCAACATCAACTGACTTTTGGGCGTCAGGGCTCTCTCACGTTCTTCCTTGATGATAGCAAGTCTCCGTTGCTTCGTTGACATTTTTGCTTGATCCCCCTCCTAGATTTGACACCCCCCGCATCATGATGAGCACCACCTTCCTTAGCAACAAGGGTGTCTTTACTGGTCTCTATGACTTTGACCATTTCATCTGACGCGGGCTTCTTTTGCGGAAGTGTCTTCAACAAGCTTTTCGAGGTTTTCGGCTAGCTCCCGGTCGTTCATGAGATCTTCCTGACCTGGCATTTCTGCCGGCAAGTCTTCCTCCTAGTTGGCGCATCCAATGCAGCTGGATTAGGCGTCTCAGGAGCATACCCAAGCCCCGGCAGAACATGTCGTTCTACACAGGGAAAGAAAATTCGCCAGCTGGACATTTGATCTGGTTAACCCTCAATGGAGCAATTGGTCGATCATAGTGAACGCCGTTGCAGAGAGGAATGTCAGAGCGACCGCCGAGGGCACGAGGGCAAATCTTGAACAAGCTGGATTACACCATGCGTATTGGCAGTATGCGGCAAAGCATTATTGCCGGACCCAGATTATTATTCTCCTTGGAAAGTACGTTTCGGTGAGGATTTTCCTGGACTATATTTGCCATTTGGTTGTCAAAAACAACTTTTGGACGCGAGGAATCGTCCTAACAAGCCTTTGAAGTTTGAAGCTACGTCCAGGGCGGGACTTGGAGATATAATTTGTGCTTTGAACATGCTTCCATTCCATCTGATCCACAGCCTTCCTTCACGAGTTCGGGTGCCCTATCACTGTAGAAGATGTTCACGGTTTCTTCAGTTCGAACAAAATGCTTGAAAGCCCTTACACATTGATGTGAGGTTTTCCGCGCCGCGGGGTGCACGTAACGGAAATCAGCAGCAACATCTCGAATCACGTCGCAACCTTTGATTGGTCAATACCATTTTCACGGTCATCTGAAGTAATGAGATGGTCCGCCATTAGATGATCGCCAAACTTCTTGGCCTCGACTTGAGTGGATCCCCCCTTTTGCCGCGATGGGTATTGGTACATATTTGCTCTGTTGCAAGTTTCGCAAAAGGGGTTCTTGGGAGCGTGACACATCAAGTGTTGAAGCGAAATTGCCTCATTTCGCAATGCTTCACCGCGTTCACGAGGGGCATCCCTCACCATTGGCTTCGAAAGGAAGTCGGACGCGATAATCTTGGGTGGATCATCATGAGAAACATCAGGGCTTTCCTCCATGATCTCACCTTCCGGTTGGCAGTTGGCGTCTTCAAGCAAGAAGTCGGCATTCCCCAGTTCATCCCCATCATCCTCATTTGTCGCGAATGTTTCCTCCGAGGTTTCGGGTTCTTCATCGATGACCAAAGCCCCATCCTCAATCTCAATTGGAGCTGATGGTAAAGTCGTGACTTTTGGGATGTTCTGCGACAAAGCCGGAATAGCATTCTTTGTCTCAGACGGAATGAATGGTACATTGTCTTTAAGCTCAAGCTTGATGCGCGTTCCATCCGGTAGCCT